TGGTGCCCATCAACACACTTAGACATTGCAAGCAGCCTGATGTCCATCCATGTGCGTGAGGCAGGAGAGATGGTACAGGGAAGTATAGACAAGCACAGGATTTGGGCCAGAGCTCCCCACCCTCATTCTGTCACATGTTACTGACATGACTCCTATAAGTCCAGGGCTTCTATTTCTCATCTGTGACATGGGGACGATGATAGTGATAAGACCTTTCCTTCCTCCTTCAGCAAACAGTCACTGGACACCCACCCTGTGTTTGGGCATGAAATGCAGACCACAGCAGAGGGACTCCTGCCCCCTGGGAGCTTCCAGACAAGGCAGGGCAAGGGTGTCACCAGGCAGTGACAATAGTGCGAGTGGCCTTCAAGAGAAGCGAGCTTGGTTCACCCAGGGAGCTCGGCCGGGACAGCCGTGGCAGTTACCCTGCTCAGGATGGAACAGATGGCCCAAGCAAAAGGGCGTAGAGTCCTGGCACGTGTGCAGAACAGTGACAGCGTCCTGTCAGCCACATCATGCAGGACTTTGTAAGCCAAGCCAAGACATCTGTACCTCCACCCTAGCACAGCGGAGCTCGCTATTGTCAGCGCCGTAGCTCAATGCTGCTGTGGATGCACATTGAAAAGCCAGGGACCGTCCCTGCCGTGGCATTGTGTGGGCACCCAGGTTTGCCTGCTGCTATGAGAGAAGTCTGATGTCTCCTTCATGTTGTCATTGATAACGAGTAAGAGCAGCCCCCTGAAAAGAACAAAAGTGTTGGATGTTAGAAATAGAGGACAATGGGGTCTTGGCAGAAGGAGAGAAGTGCAGGAAAATACCAGACAAGGCTTGGAACTCCAAGGTATTTGGGTGCTGAAGGGCCTTGCTGTGGGCTGGCCTCATGCTCACGAGAGGAGCCAGGGCCCGTGCAGGGCCGGGGGCTGGAGAGGGCCCTGTGCTCATGTGGGTGACCCCAGAAAGCTTGCCTGGGTGACCGGGCAGCACTGGGTGGAAGGGAAAGGGACCAGGTGAGGTGGTCCCAGCTCTGGGTGGGCAGGTGGTGGCAGCCCCCAGGTCACGTGATGGAGCCTCAGCTGCTCTGGGATCGAGGGGCGAAGGGGAGAGGAGAGCAGTTTCAGTGAGCATCTTTCACTATGTGTCAGGCCCCGGGGGAAGTACTTCCATGTGCTCTGCAGCTCACAGGATGCTCTGTCTCCTTTGGAGCACTTACAATTCAGGATGGTTCTCAGTACCTGCCTCCCTAAGGGATGCTGTAAGCCCCACGAGGGCAGGGCCGGTGCCTACCTTGTGCCCACCGTATCCCCAGGAGCTAGTGTATAGCAGGTGCCTCACAATGATTTTGAATGATACAAATTTCTTTTCTTTTCCTCTCCCCTGTCTCCTTTCCTCCTCCTTCTTTCTCTCCCCCGCTTCCTTTCTTCCTCCCTTGTTCTAAGACCAGGTGAGAAATCTCATGGAATCCTGCAAATAGTACAAAGTTGGGTTAAAGTGTTGGGAGCTCATCTTCAAAATAATGAGGACAGTCCTCCACCAGTCCAGCTGGCCGCGGATTTCATAATGATAGAACTAAAATTCAGGAGCGTTAAGTTACTTGCCCAAGGTCACACAGCTAACAAGAGGTAGGGCTGCGATCTGACCCGGTTATCTTAGAAGACATAATACTTCCTCTCTAAGTGAGGGAACTGGGAAAACTTGGTCCCCAAGATGGACTAAGCTTGGCCAGAATTTCTGTAGCCGTGATACTGGGCAAAGGACTCCTCCTCCATGGGTTTCTGTGTCCTGGTCGGTAAGGATCAGGCTGAAATATAACTGGAGAGCAAGCAGGCTCCAGTCTGTGCAAGTCCACTCTTGCACACACCCCCGCCCCCCACCACCGGAGGAAATGACCTTGAGATGGATCTACACCGGCAGAGCTCTTTCCAGTCTGGAACCATCCTGTCAGTATCTTTTACTACTTAGTAAAAGTTAACTAGTAAGAAAATCCTCCTCCAGGCACTTCTTGGTTTTCAAACCTCTAACTAAGAAAAGGGTTATAACTGGCTATGAATAATGGGTTCAGTGTTTGTGCTGAGTATTTCTCATCTATCAGTCCATCCCATGCCAACATGCCCCATCTTGGGTAAGTGGCAGCATGTTTTTTTTCAATGGTGTTTATTTTTTGTTTTAAAATTTTATTTATTTATTCATGAGAGACACAGGGAGAGAGGCAGAGACATAGGCAGAGGGAGAAGCAGGCTCCCTGTGGGGAGCCCGATGCAGGACTGGATCCCAGGACTCTGGGACCACGCCCTGAGCTGAAGGCAGATGCTCAACTACTGAGCCACCCAGGTGTCCCAAGTGCCAGCATGTTTTATCGAGTTATTACTTGGCACTCGCCTTCATGCAGGCCTACAGCAGAAGATGTCAAGTTGGAATATGGGCGATGCCCATGTGGAGCTCCAGGCATCTAGGTCATCAGATCCTCCAGTTGGATCCACCCAGTTCTGAGGGGAAGGTGAGAGAATGACTAAATCTTTCTGTTCCTCTTTTCCCATCCTGGGCTTGTGGTGGACACAGTGAGAAGGAGGAGGAAAAGTAAGTTTCTGGAGGGGCAGCACCCTGACCCCTTCATGAGTGGGCCAGGCAGCATGCCTGGGAGGAAGGCAAGAATAAGGAATTTTCTGAGTGGCCAGGTTGCTTCTCTCCACATCCCAAGTGAGTCTGAAAGCCCTAGGGCTACATTTTTTTTAAAAGATTTTATTTATTTTTTCATGAGAGACACACAGAGAGAGGCAGAGGGATAGGTAGGCTCCATGCAGGGAGCCCGATGCGGGACTCGATCCCAGGACCTCAGGATCACGACCTAAGCCAAAGGCAGACAGACATTCAACCACTGAGCCACCCAGGCGCCCCTAGGGCTACATGGTTACTGTCAGTACTGTTACCTCCCTTCTCCCCCCAGCCTGTTAAAATGACAGTAAAGGAATACAGAAGCATCAGTCTGCAAGGACAAAGAGACTAACGGAGCAGCAACAGTGGATCAGTGATTTCTAGGACTTCAGGTACTTTTAGGGTGGCAGGCAGCAGCTGGTGGGATCAATGGGAACACAAGCAGAGCAGCCGATAGCTGTGGTCCTTGCTGGAGGTGTGTTCTCAGAGGTGGCTACGCACAGAGCTCAGATGATCAGATGGTCTCAGAGTCCACTGTCTGTCCCATCTCCATGACAAATTCTCAGTACAACCTTGAGTAAGTCCGTTTCTTCCTCCCGAGACTCCTCTTTTCCCATCTGTAACATGTAGAGACCATACTGGACACGTGATTCTTCTGGTGCCTGAATTTCCTGGAGTTTTTTTTTTTTCCCTCAACATGTATAGGCACATAAGTTTTGATTCTGATTCTGAAATGGGGCTAAGGCATTAGCATTTTTTCAAAGGCTCTCCCAGGAAGCTTTAAAAGCCTGCGCTGCTTATGGTCTTTGAGGGCCCGTTCAACTCTGATATGCCAGGACTCTCCCCTGCCCAGGTGTTAGTTTGGAGAATACACTGGGCTGGGCTGGGGGAGGCAGCAGGGATATAGATTTTCTGGTGGGACATCTAGGTCACAGGGGGCTTCGAAAGAGTCTGAGTGCTCATCTGCTGGGGACAGCAGAAGTCTCTAAGGGGGGGATGGTGGTATTTGAAAAGGATAGAAATCCCACAGAGGGAGACAGTAAGGAGGATCTTGCAGGTGGAGGTCACAGCGGGAACAAAATCCTAATGGTAGGAAAGCTTGTGGCATGTTCAGGGAATTGCAAATATTCAAATGTGGAGACCTAGCACGAGGAGCCGTGAAAGTCCAGGTGCGCACCCTGTGCTTCATCCAGTTGACAATGGGGAGCCATGCAGACCTTTGAGCTGGAGAGTGCATGACCAAAGTCGATCAGTCTTGTCAGCCGCTATGGTTTATAATGCCTCACGATTCTAATACACAGGTTCGGCCCAGCTACCTTTGCTGGAGCACCTACTACGATGTTCTCCATGCCAAGCACTACTCACAATGTCCTCATGACACGGCCACTCCGTAGCTGTACAGCCACATCCTCTTTCCCACCATTTCCCCACCCAATTCACTTCCTTTACTCCTCTGGCATCTCTGAATGGGCATGCTCCTTCCATGCCTCCCTGCCCATATACAAGCCCCTAACTCTGGTGGCATGTCCTTCCCACCTCAGCCCTTCTGCAGAAGGCTCTGCTTGAAGAGCATTCCCCCAGGAGACCCCTCAGATGGTCCTGGGCAGCTCCTGGTCCTCCCCAGACCCCTCCAGATGGCACATCCACTGCTGACCTTACACTGTGCAGCTTTTACTCGTTAACCTGTGAATTGAAGGGCAGCGGCTCGAGATTGGGCACTGCCTCGTAATGGCAGCTGTCTTTCCTGGGGCTCCCTGAGGATCCAGAGCAGAGCAAGCTGTTGAGAAGTAGAGTGATTGAAAAAATAGCAAGAGCAATGATCTGGGCTGGGCAATTGACCTAGTGGCTCTCATTTAACTTCCATCGCGGTGTCTCTTTGGGACACGCGTCACTATTTCCATCTTGCAGTCTATGTGACTGGGGCGACATGAGTTTGTGCAACCGCTGATCTGCAGACCTGGGATAGAGCACAGGTGTGCCTCAGCCCTGGTCCTCCTCTCCATCGTGTTCAGGGCCAGCAGCTCCAGCCTAGGATGGAAATGGGTGGGGTCAGAGAAGCCACAGGCAACTTTCTTTCCCTCACCTCTCTCCTCTTCCCACTCAACCGGGACAACTCCTACTCATTCTCTCAAGATTTTTATCTGCTACTGCACTAGGGGAAGTTTCCTCATCCCTCTCACACCACCCAGGAAAGATGGGGGAAGGAGTGTTCCATGTGGTCATTGGGCGTGAGTAATTATCTCTCCTCCCTGTGACTCCCCCACCTCTGCACCAGGGTCTGGGAAACCCCACTCAAGTCTTCTAATAAAAGCTCCGGGCACTTCAAGATGGGCCAGCGACAAGCTCTTCGCTTCACCAGACACATTGAGACCACGGCAAGGAGGTCTGAGCCAGACTGCATAGAATGAAGCTTATCACCGTGGCCCTGGTGTGCCTGCTGCTGGCTGGAATGTGGCTGCATGATGTGGATGGCAGGAGCAGTGAGTGTGGTTGGAGTCACCTTGCTCCTCTGTGGGGAGGGCAGAAACCCAGGCAGGCACTCTGGGCTTGCGGGCAGGGCTCACCCTGAACTCAGTGCCTGTGTCTCGCCTCCTCCGGAAGAAGTCCTCCTAAGGAGGGTGAATGGACAACTTGGCTGGGGTGGGGACGGGGGAGAAGGTGTCTGGGCAAGCATAGTGGCTGAGCTGCTAGCTGCAGCAAATGGAGGCCCTGCCTCATCCAGGGAGCTCTGAAGCTCTTGAGGCCAAACTGGGAGGCCTGAGGTGCAGAGGAGGGGGCTGGGTGCTGTCTCCTCCTGGTAACAGATAAGAGGTAGAGCCTGAAGTCAGGACTGGGCTAGTCACTGTGGGGCAAGTGTTGGGTCAGTGACTTGGACAAGTCATTTTAGCTCTCAAACTGTGCATTCTCTGTCGATAAAATGGGGTGGATAGTGCCTGACCTCAGGGCTTTCGAGAGAAGACTGACCTAATTCCAGGCACGTGAAAGATGTTGTGTCAACAGTAAAACTGGAGGAAGGAAAAAAAACAAAACTAGGAGGAAGGAACCAGGATTGACATTCAAATCACTTGGGGGTGGGTTGTAGGAGAGAGTGTGCAAACCGGCAGGGAGGGCACCAGAACCCAGACAGAGCTGTGGGCCTGGGTAGAGGGCATTCTAGACAGAGGGTGGGAAGCCTTTGAGTTCTGGAGGCTCTTTCCCTGTCATTCCATCAATTGGAACTCCTTGATTAGTTCCAATTACTCCAGGGATTAGTTCCTAATCCTGCCCCAAAGCCACAGACCACCATTGTCCTGCACACACCAGACTCACTGGGCCCCCAGAGTGTGGGGTCCAGAGCCCTTGAACCCAAATATTGGACCAAAACCATGCACTCGTGGTGGGATGTCAGAACTGGAAGCCCCTTTAGAGATAAAAGTTCCTGTTTGACAGATGGGAGGTCTGGGGCTCAGGTGAGGGCTCACCTTGATCAAGGCCACACGGCTGGTTTGTGGGGAGGTGAGCCCCAGAATTCCAACCCTCCGCGCACATACAGAAGTAGGTGACTGGGCTGGATGCGGTCTCCACGCCCCAGAGACTGTCCCAGAGAGGGTTTTTTTTTGTTTGTTTGTTTTGTTTTTTTTTTTTCTTTTTAAAGCCAGTTGGATGAGAGGAACGAAGTCCAGGCTAAGAAACAGATGCAAACCATTTCTGTGTTTCTCTTCTAGTGCACGTGTCGTCCTCCAACTGTTGCTTCAACTTTTCAGAGAAGAGGATCGCCCCGCAGAGAATCCGGTGTTACAAACACACCAGCTCCACCTGCTCCCGTAGGGGTCTAATGTGAGTGTCCCTACCCCGGTCAATTCCTGAGCCCCCTCCCTCCAGAGCGCAGGAGCCAGCCCGCCTGGAGTTACAAGGGCAGACGCTAGATGGCGATGCTCCCCCAGGTTCAGGTTCCTAAACCCGCGCAGAGGCGGGTGACCTCGGGCAGGTAATTCTTTTGCACCTGGTTGTCTGAGTACTCCTCTGCAATCCTTATCCGTGGAGTGGAGTGAAGATGATGGCTGCATCACAGGGGCATTACAAAATTAGACCGAAGTGGCTTACCATCACGACTCAGTATCTATAAAGCATTCGCATATATTATCTTGGCTAACCCTCCTGGGGCACACATTTTCATTATCATGAACACTGAAGTTCAGGGAAGTAGACAGATTTGTCTGAGGTCACCTGGATAATTAAAGTTAGAATTGGTTTATAGTTTGGTTGGACAGAAGCCAAGCTAAAGAGGTGAGGAGTTCAGAAAATAAATACACACACACACACACACACTGACAATGAATCTAAAGCAATGACGGAGGGTTCCAGATGGACACAGACACATGAAAAGATAGGTCAAACCCCCTCAGAGATATTCTAGGGGGAATTTCCATACTAGTTAATCCTCGGAATGTCTGCAGGCTTTACCCTACCCTAATACCCTAATACCCTAATACCCTAATGAGTCACACTCTCCAGAAAAGGGAGAAACTCAATTCACCAAGCTCTTCTTGAAGCTTGGGTGTTCCTTCCAGCGTGCCAGCTGCAGGCCTTCTGCAACAAAGTCACTTTACAGGCCCAGAGTGAGCAGTTAGGGGGCTACCAGCAGCGAGGCAGGGGAGATGGGACTTGTGTGTGGCACCCAGGGGGACAAATCACATGACTCAGCTCCTACTTTGTTCTTTGTCCACAGACTCAAGATGAAGAAAGGTAGAGAGACATGCGTCTTACAGACAGCCCAATGGATTAAGGATTATTTTAAGACTATGAAACCATGCCTGCTGATGTGAATGCAAGAGGATTTCTTTCCACCCTGGACTCTGAAGATGGTGTGGCTTCACCTTCCCCCCCCCCCCAAGCCCCCCACCCTCAGCCCATGCCCGTCCTTCCACCCAGCTTTGCCAGGTCACGGAAGGTCTGCTTAGTCCTGATAAGCTATGTTGTTGCACTTTATATATTTAAATACGATAATCTTCCATCCCTGCCTCCCTGGGCTTCTTGGTTAGCAGGACTTCCTCTGGGGGGGTGGTTAGGGGTGTCCAGGCCTGAGTAGATCTTAGGTCTTACAGAGATGCCAGCACAGCTCACCTGGAGGTGGGAGGCAGTCTCGGGGAAAGCCAATGTCTGGGAAGTGGAGGTCCCATCCCCATGAAAGGGGTAATCGCCAGCTCAGACTTGTGTACCTGGGCACTCAGAGAGAACAGCAAGGGAGGGAAGTGGCTTCCGGGTCTCAGGATTGGCACCTTTTTGAAGGCCAGCTCAGTGGCTTTAGGGGAGAAGTTCTCATGTCCTGTGCTAAGTAAGACAGGCTTCTCCCATTTCCCCAGCATTGCACAGGTCACAGATCTGGTCCATTCTTCTGAAACTGCCTCCTCCATTCTGCCCCGACGACCCCCTGCTTCCTGCTCTTCCCTCTTGCTGGGGCCTTTGGAGGGCAGCTCACTGCTCCCAGCTCTCCCTTGCCAGCTCCATCCTGCCCACGGCCAGAAGCCACTCTGCCTGGCATGCCGTCGCCCTCCACCCTCCGACAGTCCCTCCCTCCTGCCTTCGGAACTGACTCCAAACTCTGCACATTGATATTCCAATTCCTCTATCACCACCACCTCCCTCCACCTTCCTTCCTAAATGACTACCTTTTCTGTTCCAGAACCCAAACTCTGACCATACAGGGATAGTCTCTCCCGGCCCTCTCCCTTTCCATCCTGTGCCTCCTCTAGAAGAATCCTTGCTATGAGTATGCTCTGGCATCCTCCAGGGTGGATGCTGATGAGAACCATGTCATCTGGTTTCCCCTGGAGGTCAGGTGCGAGTAGTGTCTGTATGCCTCCAAGGACTGCTTGGAACGGGGAGGCAGAGACCAGTGAGAAGCTGGGCAGCTGAGTCAGGCCCTCTGTGACAGTCAGATAAGCCCAGGTCAGCCACCAACCACTGTGAGGTCCTCCCCACTGCTGTGGTCCTCCAGCGCCCTCTGCCCCTCTGAGCGCCCCCTACTGGTTGAGTTATCCTCCCCCAAGAAAACACCACCAAGAGAGATTTCAAACAAGATGTATTTTCTGCAAAAAGTCAACAATCTTATGAATAGCATTCTCCTTTCTGTAATAACATACTTAGCTGCACCTCACATCCACCTCCCCTCCCCAGATGGCAGTAGCCCTTCATCGCCAGGATTTGTAGGCACGAGCATCAGCTGGGGAGTTAGGCAGGAGACGGACCTGCTGCCTGCAGCTTACAAGGGTCAGAACTGGGGCTTATGGTAGGAAGCAACTGGCTCAAGGCCTTGCTTTAGAAAAAAGGTCACCAATATTCGAAATAAACCCCCAAACCCGCAACAGTTCAAATAACGTTAAATATTACTTAAGACATAGTACCTTTTTGCATCACAACACAGAAAGCACCCTATTTGAAACTATAGTCAAACTAGTCCAGGGTATAGCTGGAGAGGAGGAAGGAGAATAAACAGGGGTTCCTTTCTCATGCTTTGCTCGGGTCTTAGCATGGCTGGAAGAGTTCAAGTCTTCGGCGTTTGAGTTCTTTGATCCAGGTGTTTCACATAATCCTGGACCCATTTCTCCTTTGGGTCGGCACAGATAGCCTTGGCCAGTTTCGTACTGAAGCTATGGATGAAAGAGGGCTGCACAGTTAGGTGGAGGTGGGGGTTTTACCCAAGAGATGCCTCACCAGCCTCTCAAACCTGCTTGGTCCACCTGTGGCAGGAGAGAGATCCCGCCCCTGGGACCGGAGAAAGTAGGGATATGGAAAGAACAGGACTCTAGAGGTAGTCACTCTTCTTGGAGGCCCCAGAGAGGCTGGCCAGGCCTCAGCCAGAGTAACCTTGAAACTGTGAGCTAGCACCCATTCAGGGAGCCGGGGTGGGAGCTGGCCCTCTCTGGGCCTGTTTATGATGTAATCCCAGTCTGGCAAAAACTTACCCCCTGAGTATAAGATCCCAAATTGGCCTAATGCCTGTGCCCTGGGGTGGGAGTTTGGATCAGGGGATGTGAGAATGGGGTAGGGTGGGGTCAGGTCAGGGGTGAGCAGGGTTTTTCCACCTACATGACAGCTTTCCGGGGACAGTGGCTGCTGGTGATTCGATAGCTCTCCAGCCTCTGCAAGGGGATCTTCTTATTGTTAAATGTGAAGCAGCAAGTGAATAGGGCACTGAGTGCATCTAGAAATAAGGTCACAAAGGAAAAGCCTTTTAGGAGGTACTAGGTTTTTATCAGCTTGGATAGAGCAGGAAGCAGCTGTAGGGGAAGGAAGGAAAGAGGTAGAAGTGCATCTCATCCACCTCAGGTCCAGTGCTGCTGTCTGGAGACCTGAGATGGGGGAGACCTGGAACATGTGGTTCAGGATTCTCTCAGTCTCGTGGTGGGGCTGCATCATTGCTGATCAGGACAGGCCAGTGTGACAGGTCCTGGCTACGGTCCTCCGTGTGCAGAGTTTGGGAAGATCAGCCAGAGTCAAAGAAAAGACCCTGGGTCTGGAGTGAGCAGCTACGGTTTTACCCTGGCTCTGCAACACCTGGAGGTGGGTGGCTGGGACCCCGCCTGTCCCCAACGTGGCCTTCGGCTTTCTGTTTTTAAAATTAGACGTTCAAGGGAAGCTCCGAGGATTCCCAGTGCTCTGATAGGCTCAGAAGTGGGGCATTGCAGCTTAGGGCTTTCTATAAAGACAGGAAAATATAAAGGAGAGAGGACAGGAAAGAAGGAGAGGGGGGTTTACCTGGCTGAGCGGGCACCTGGGTAGTGAGGATGGCGGCTGTGAGCAGCAGGCACAGGAGCACTGCAGAGACCTTCATGTTTCCGGCCTGGTCTCAGCCTCTCTGCAATGCCAGTGGCCCTGCCTGCCTTTTATAGGAACCAGAGAGAATAGGAGTTCCCAGAGAGCTGTTTGCCTGGGCACAGTCATGGTCAAGTTGAGATGCAGAGCACTCCTGAATCTGCTGAGCTGGAGGTTGGCTACCAGAGTTTTCCAGGAATTTCAAGAAGGAAACTGTGGGCTGCAGAAGGGCAGGCACTATTTCCTTCCAGCTGCCCAGGCCACAGAGGAAGCAGGAGCACACATGTGCCACCATTCACCATAGGAGTGATCTGAGGAGCTGTTCCGTGGCCTTGCTTGCCCCACAACCAGAGAGAGAGAGCCGTGTGAGGGCTCTACACTTGTGACATGTTTCACCCTGACAAGGTGTATACTATGATCATCATGGCCACTCACTGATGAAGATGTGAAGGTCCAAAGCCTTGTAGAAAGTGAGTAGTGGCGCCGGGAGACAAAGCTGGTCTTTACGTAGGATCACCCCAGCCTTTCACGGTGTCTCTAGTGCAGAAGACTTTCTCCGAGCAGTTTTAGGTGGAAGTCTCATAAGTAAGACGAATCAAAGTCAGCAGCCAATGACAAGGGCTCCTCTTGTCACACGTTAGTGTCCCTTTCTGCCCCTCAGGCCCAGAAGGATATGGTTTGAAGTCCACTGATTTGTCCAGGAAGGACTATGGAGTTTCTAGAGTGATTGCAGGAAGGGAGTTGTAGAATAGAGCAAAGCAGGCTCTTTGCTTTTGTGTCTGGCTCCCCTCTTGCAGGAGCGTGTGGTTGAGTTGGAACTTGGGGTAGGTGTCCCCAGGGGCCTGGTGGGAGGGGGAACAGCCTTGGGCTGCAGGAGACCCCCTGACAAGGCACTTGGCTTGCTCTGATCCATTCCCTGTGCTTCCTCCTGGCTCCCAGACTTTGCTTACTTTTTGCACCTGCCTGGAATACTATCCCCTCGGCTTTCTATGTTAGCAGGTCTTTCCACTCTTGCAAAACAAGTCCAGTGAGGTTAAAAACACAGAAATAAAAAGCTAAGATTAGTGAAATAAAAATCATATGTACTAGAAGGGACTGATGAAACTCAAAGTCAGTTCTTTGACAAGCCTATAATGCTGTCCTGAGACTGACCATGGAAAAAGCAAAAAGGCGCAGACTGCCACAGCAGGAGTTAAGGAAGAGGGTGTCATCATGGAATCTGTAGATGCCAGAAGGAAATTGGACCCTTATGCCAACAAATTTAACTTCAATGAAATGGATGAGTTCCTAAAAATATATAACTTACCCAGAGTGCTAAAGAAAAATGAAAAAAAGAGTAATTCTAAAACTACTTGAAAATGGAATCAATCATTGAAAATCCTTCCACCAAACACCCTCCCGCTACAAGGGCTTTAACAGCTAGTCCCTTCAAATATTCCGAGAACAAGTAATTCCAACCTTACACAATTTGTTCCGGGGAATATCAGAAGAGTGTACACTCCAGCTCATGTTTTGAGTTTTACATAAGTTTGATACAAACACTTGTTAAGAACGACATGAGAAGGGTAGCTTGTCCCTCCAGAAACACATTCCATTCTTGTCCATCTTTTTCTTTGTCCTGGGAAGCCAACCTGTGTGATGACGTCAGTGGGACTGTAGGTTTTCTGACTTTGGGTTGGGCTTGCACACTAGGGAGCTCCTTGGGGTGCAGGAGAGGGAGAAGAGTAAAGTGAGGTGCTGCTCTCTTTGCTGCCTCTCCTGGGTCTCAGCCCAGATGCAGTCCTCAACCAATGGCTTTCATTTCTCTCCTGCGGTGAGGTGGGTAAAGCACAACCTGTCCTTTCATCCTTGTGTCTAGGGGGAGTCCCCACACTGTTGCTAGCCTCAGAGTGCTAAAGCACCTTTATTGTTTCTCCACACTCAGCCCACATCTTGCTAAATAGCCTCTTTATTAATCTGGTCCCAGGTCATTCAAATTTAAGTGTAATCTATTCCTTACTAGGACCCTGACTGCCATAGGTATGGATCCAGGACCAGGATCGGCTCCTGGAAATGGTCTGTCCATACAGGATTCTGGGATTGGAGTGCTCATTTATTTTAGAAGCACCATGAAGGCAGCCGGGGTGGCTCAGCGGTTTAGCGCCACCTCCAGCCCAGGGTGTGATCCTGGAGATCCAGGATCGAGTCCCGTGTCAGGCTTCCTGCATGGAGCCTGCTTCTCCCTCTGCTTGTGTCTCTGTTTTTCTCTCTCTCTCTCTCTTTCTCTCTTTCTCTCTCTCTCTCTCTCTCTCTCTCTCTCTCTCTCTCTCTGTCTCTCACGAATAAATTAAAAAAAAAAAGAAGAAGAAACACCATGAAAGCATCTGCTGGCATCATGATTACTTGAATCATTACAGGAAGTTGTGTAGCCAATTGTGTTCTAACAAGCCAGCAGGTGGTTCTGGTGTTCACTCGAGTTTGAGAACCATGGAGTTATAAGCATATCACATGGCCATCTCTGGTCTATAGTAAAGCCACCAGAGAGCCCTGACGAAGGAAGTATCTCTGGGCCCTCCCTGGGAGTGCAGTTAGGGAATGGCTGAGCAGCTTGAGCATATAGATCCATTTCAACAGGTCCATTTCCCTGAGCCTTTGGACTCCTTCCTAACATTCTTGGGAAGTCCCAGCATTACAACCTCATTAACTGCAGGCTTCTTTTTAAGCCTCGACTCCAATCAGCCAATCCACCTGAGCATTAACATTACTTCCAGGTACTTGTGCCAACACAATAAATCCCAATTTTTCAACAGGTACACCTATATCAATGAATTGGATTGATTGAGCCTTGGGTGTCATTCCCACTAGTAGCCACTCCTACAAGTGCACCCTGAACTTTCCTCCAAATTGAGTGGGTGAAGGGACATCCAAACCCACCTGGCTATAAGGATTCCTGTCTGTACTTTCTTCTGCTTTAGAACCTGAGATCTCATAGAAGAGTGTGTTTAGGAGCCTGGGATCTGGAACCAACCAGAAATGGCTTCAAGTCCTAGATCCATCATTTACTAGTTATATGATCTGGAGCAAATTGCTTACCTCTCTGAACCTCTAAGGGGAAACTGATGGCTAATTATTATCTCATCTTGATGTCAGAGTTGAATAAGATAATACATGGAATGTGCTCAGCATTGTGCCAATAACCCCCATTTTAAACTGGTAACCAGGTAATGCTTGTGCCTCTGGTCTGGGGTCCATGTTGGGGCAGCCATGCTGTAATTAATAGGAGTTTGGATCTTGGTGGGAGGAGTGGGATCCAGGATGGCAGAGGCTAGACAGTGCTGCTTATTGAGCAGTAGAGACAAGTCAGGTACAGATATTCCAAGGAGCCCCAGCCTGGAGTGGCAATCAGTGTTTTGGCCAACAGGGATCTGTGGTAGCGATTATGGGATCCTTAGACATGAAAACTTACTAAGATCCTGCTTGACTTTGGGCAGAAAGTTCTAGGTTTAATGGCCAGAAATCCAATATAAGTCCTTGTAGGAGAGGTTCATGGCCTCTTGCCCAGTTATCACATCTAAGCTGGTTCATAGACCTAGAATCCCCACACCAGGAAAACTAGGAAAGGCCCTGCACTGCCAGATTGCCAGGTGAAATACAGGATTGTTGGTTATTTGAGTTTCAGATAAACAATGAGTAATTTTATCACATAACTTTGCCCTTGGCAATATTTTTGCTAAATCAGAAAACTCATAGGTCTATACTATAAATCTCCACTAAGCCTTCCCCAGAGGAGCTGGCTGCCATACAACCAGGGTGACTGCACTGGGGAAATAAATACTGAGACCTTCCGGGATTATTTGATGCTGGCTCCAAATGGATGCTATTCTCTGGAGAACTGAAAATCCACTCAGACCCACTGGTCAGAGTGGGAACTTATGGAGATCCTCCGCCAGCTACTCAATTATGTTTAGAGCAGATGTTCAGCTAGCTCTTTTCCAGCTCATTGATCTTTATACAATATAAGTCTCCCAGAACTATACACTCTGTAATTTTAAAATTATTTTGTTGCTGTAGCATCTTAGCATCCAGGCATGCAAGCTGCCTGCAATAGCTCTGGGCAGTCTTAGCGTCCTGCCCTCTTAGATCAGAACATACGAAAGTTGGCTTCATTACACAATGTTGTGGTTTTAAGATGCTTGTTTACCCACTGAAGTCTGTTCTCTGAAATAACTTATTGGAAAGCCATCATCTATTACAGCTTAAAACTAAAACTGCCCAGAGAAGCAGAGCTGAGGCACCCTGTACTTAGCCTTCTCCCTGTCCATCTCATTTCACTCATTAAAGCTCTAAGGAATATTGAGGTAATACAACCTTTCCACTCTACAGAACAGATCTCTGACTGTTGTTGGCATAGCTAATGAAAAGGGAGTGAGCCAGCACTAACTGGCACTCTCTGCCCCCCCCCCAGGCTGGCTCTCTCCAGAGAAGGTAAGCCTGGAAACAAAGAGAATATATCCCTTGTGGCACTGGAGAAGGGAAGTCCCTCCACCACTCCCAAAAACAGTGTAGGACTGCTTCCTTACTCCTTTCTTCACACCTCCTTCTCTCCTATCTCTGTATTCACTTATAATCTCCCACCCACCTGCAGCATTCTTCTTTCCATCTGGCTCCAACAGGAATCATTTGAGGCCTGGATTAAATTGTGTCTGGTCTGTGAAGGCTTCCAGCCCACACAGATTTCACAGGGGACCAAAACTTTCTCTGAAATAGAAGGTTTTGAAAAGTTTTCTTAAACAGAAAACAGAAGGACAAAGTATAAAGGAACACACTGATAAACGGACCATCTTAAACTTAGGAAGCTGTTTTCATGGAAGGCATCTTTCAGGGAGTCGAAAGGAAAACCACAGTTATGAGAAGATATTTAGATTTGCACATCTGGCAAAGGATTCCTGTTCAGGATACAGAAAACACACATCTACTAATTCATAACGAAAAGACAATCTACAAATGGACAAAATTTAAATCTAAGCAATCTAAAAAATAGACAAAAGACATGGCCTGGAGCTTCATGAAAGAAGATATCCAGCAAACATTTGAATAGATGCTCAACCTCATTAGTCACAAGTAAGATGAAAATTTAAACCACAACCATGTGGATTATGAGGAATTATAAGCAGAGTGGCTAACTTAAAAAGAATTGACGGAAAGAAGTGTTGCAATGCCAAATGTGGAATAAATATAGCCCTCATACATTGCTGGTGGGAGTGGATATAAATTGACATGATAGGTTGGAAAATATTTAGCAGTATTTGGAAAAGGGTTTGGTGGTTGAACATATGTTTAATATATACATATCCTATGATCTATGTGTATATTTCTGTCAATCACCTATCATTTACATATCTATCTATCTATCTATCTCATCATCATCTCTCTATTATCTACATGTAAATCCTTGAGTTTGCACCAATATCTCCAATTTCAGGTCAATACAACACTTTTTTGTTTTGCCTTTTTCTAGTCTTCTGATATTCTTATATTTTGTCTATGGAAACTTCTCCAATAGTAAGTGACTTGACTTCCATTGTCATCAATACACTTACTTTTTTGCTAAATCCCTCTCTCTGTCAACATTCTCCTAGTTATATGGCTAACTTAGTCCCAATCTTGTTGGCCTTGACTTGGGGGCCACCCTCTTGGACCCAGTCCTGCCCAATCTGCTAGTTGAGTCCATGGTCTTGCCCCTGCTTTTGTCCCAAAGAACACACTGAGCAAGTCCCTGATTCCGCTCCTAGCCTCAGCCCTGGTGAACACATCAACCAAATGCCCAGCTCATTCTCTGGCCCTGATGCAGCGAACTTGTCTGTTGAGATCCAAACAAGGCCAAAGTGAAGGAGAACAAATATTGACTGAATGAAACCACGACTCAATAAAGCAGGGCCTGAGGTGAGGACCTGTGTACAGATAGTTCATTTGGAAGTGATCCCAGGGATCAGGACTGAGTAAGCAGCAAAGATGGAGAAGGAGGAGAAGTCAACACAAGTATGCATAATTCAGATCAGCATCATGGGCAATGGGGTCTAATTCTCTTGGGATTACCTGAGAAGCCTATGGAATGGCTCCAGAATCAACCTCTGGAGAGAAGGGTGGCAGAAGTGTTCGAAACATCTGCCTCCACCCTTCGTTGGCAGAAGGTTGTCACCCAGAGTGTTCCTTCCCCCACACTTCTGAGCCCTGGGCAAATGTGTAGGCTGAACCAACTCTTGACCTGAAAAGGCACCCAAAGAGGAGCCTGTGGGCAGGAAACAAAAATTGAGGAGGACATTGGAGGCAGATGTTGAGAAAGTGAAGTGAATCACAGCCTGCAGCAAATTGTGAGCCCAGGGTGAAATCGGAGGTGTGCTGAAGAGGATGCATGTCATCTTCAAGTGACTTTCCAAGTCTTCACCCCTGGTTGACAAGGGAATAAAGGGGTTCACAAATATTAATCACTCAATATAAGGATGTGGATTTTGAAAGCACTAATATTCAAGTTAGGCCATGTAAAACATCAGTAACTTAAATGAGATGACACATTACTTAAGATAATTATATTTAATGGTGTTAACAAAGTTCATTGTGAGTTAAATATAATGACACAATCCTGGAGCGCAGCTAGCTGGGCAAAGCTTGGGGAAAATAAATGAATTATGTCTTAACTGTGGCCTGGGTGTCAGTTTAGGTGGAATTTTTTTGCCTTTGAAATTTTGAATTTTGGTTAAGCTATTTCATGAAACTCTAGTCCCAGACCTCATTAGTCAGCTTGTCCTTGAGGCTGTAGAAGAGAGTTTGGAACTGGATGGAGCCTTTGTGGCAGAAAGTACTCCTTTTACTCAGCTGACACCCAGATGTCTTTTTGCTCCTGGGGCTTGGATGTGCTACCCTGGACTTTAGTGGAAAACTTGTCTTCAGATAGGTGATATATCTGACTTGCAGTTTGCCAATAGGCAGGGCTCCTGACTGGTCCAATGATTTTAATCTAGAATGGGATTTACTTTACCATTCTACTCTAGCCAATAGGCTTGACCAATTTTCCAAGAGACGTGGCTCCTAGAACTGGAAGGGGCTTATGAGGTCATCTGCCGTGTTCTCTCACTTCCTCCCTGTGGCACAATATGACCTTTACTTTTGTATGGGGCATCTTAATGCCAGAGAGAGAGAGAGATTGAAATTGACTTGCCCTAAGTGACACAGAGTCAGGGTCAGTTCTGGGACCAGAACCCAAGTGCCATGCTTCTAGGTATACTGAGATTGTGGCATCTTTCCACATGACCATCAGTGAATGACAGACCCTGCAGAGCTGGGTCATCAAGGAAATAGTCCTCTTTCCCTCAATGAGGGGTCTGGTCTTTGTGACTTACTATGGTGGGCCTCATACCTGAAAATGGAGCCAGCTGTGCTTACATAGTACAAGGGAATCTTGACCTTAAGAGGCTATTAAGGAAAGGAGTTCCCATACCTTCATACAGAAGCTTGCAAATTTGGGGGATTGGGGCTGGAGTTAACTTCATTCTGTGTCTCAAGGGCGCCAGTTCTCTAAATAGTTGCTTTGTGAGATTGTAAGAGAAAGTCTTAATCCTGGGTCAAATGCTTTCCCTCTCCAACATTTGACATTCCACTCCATCTTGCCCATTCTATCTAACATCACCCTACTACCAGCCTGGTTCATTCGCCTCTCCTACACCATTACAGTGGCCTGCCTTCAGACCCTCCCTCTCACACTCTACCCTAGCCTCAGATACCAGGTTACTCTTCCTCATGCACACCTTGCATGACACTTTTTTTCTCTTCTTTTTCGAAACCTTTAGTGCATCTTGTTTTTCCAGAGTCCAGCCAGATGTTTGAAGGTATGGAAACTCCATGTTCTTGCTCCCCATCCTGTACTGGCTCTGAAAAACCTTTTCATTTCTCATTGCATACCATCCTTCAAGACCAGTCCTGTTGAAGATTCTTCAAGGAAAAGCCTTAGAAGGGCTTCTAGGTTGTAGACATCTAGTTTCCTCTAGTTTTACTCTTTTTAAGATAATAGTCGGGGTTTGAGGATTAATTAGATGGATAATAGTTGGCTTTATGGAGAAAATCTTGAGGCAAGAGAGAGAACAGGAGAAGGGAGGTGTGAGAAGAAAAGAAATGGGCAGGTGATGTTAGGGACTAGAGCTGAGAGGCTGGAACACTATGAGCCTCAGTGGAGTCTAAAATACTTCTTAGAAAATGGCCCCCTAGACCCCAAGTTGCCAGTCATTGTTGCCATTTTCTGCCTCCCAGCTAAATGCTACCCCATGAAAAATAAGATCAAGTAGTTTAAAGTCATATATTTTTTTCTTTGAAAATTCCATAGTAATAGAATAACATGAATTTCAACCACATTACACAGCAGATATTTGACTTACAGGAGCACCAACTTCATAAGAATACAGATATCTTTCACTCTGATGATCCATGGAAGGACCTCACAATACTACAGACACATTGGAGGGAGACAAATGATATCCTGCTACCAACTTGACTGAGCTCACAGAAAAGAAAATGTGCCACTGGATTTTGTACTTTACATTCATTAGGATTTATAGCAGATAAAGTAAAAATGTTAATAACTTAAATAAAATTAAATATTATTTAAGATATGTGCTTTAAATTATTGTATAAAGTGCCTCTTGTTGGGCATTGTAATAAAATAATATCACTCTGTACTTGGGGAAGGTTGGGGAAAAATAAATAAGATTTTCCTCAGGGTCTGTCTCTCAGTCCATACATGAAGGTTCAAGGCTTCTGGGCTTGGGACTTTTGGTTCAGGTGATTCACGTAATCCTGGACCCACTTCTGTTTGGGGTCAGCACAGATCTCCCTGGATGCTTTGGTCTTGAAGCTGTTGTGGGGAGAGAGGGCAGTTAGATGGAGCACCTGAGGATTTTTTCCAGACATGTGGCCTGTTGGCCCCTACACCTAAGGATCTCTTGCTCTCTGGATGAGGAGGCTGGATGGAGTTACATGGAAGGGGAAGGATTGGAGGAAGAGCTCTCAAACGAAAACTGCTTATGCTATCCCAGGGGAAGCCCTCAGTCTCCTGACCGAAGGAACTTGGGTGATCTGACCAAGATCCTAGAAGGGGAGCCTGGGGGGAATATGGATTCCTTCCTGAGGGCTCAATTTCTCTGTGGGGTAAAGGTCCCCTCGGATTACATGGCATATTTATCTGACTTATTTGGGCATGGATCCTGATCTCTTTCCCTTGTATAGAACTCCAGTAGAACTTTCATCACAGGGTGCCAGGGCATGGTTCTCTTACATCACAGCTTCCTGGGGACACTGGCTGTTGGTGATCCTCATGTAGCTCTCCAGCTTCTGCATGGGGATCTTCCTTTTGACCATGCTAAAGCAGCAGGTAACTGGGATGGAAACTGAATCTAAAAAACATTTTGCAAAGAATGAGAGTTATAATGCATCATAAGCATAATTTTGAAAGGGCAGATGAAGGTAGGGAAAGACAAAACAAACACAAGTTCTACCTAGGAATGAATACTCCCAAGCTCAGTGCCTTAGCCCACCTTCCACAGATAAAATGGTGCCGGGAAGTCTATTTCCTTTATGGAACTATGGGGCTCCTCACTGTCAACTGGGAATGGGGAAAAGACACTCATCTTGTTTTGTCATTAGGAGGTTCTACTAACCCAAAACCTCTGACACCAAATAGATAAGTTCTAATACCTTGCTCCCCAGCTTTCTGTCCCCACGGGCTCTAAAGCCAACCTGTGTCACATGCTGACATGCCTCTGGGTCCTTTTCCTCCTTACATGGCCACTGGCAAACTGGCTGTAATCCAAAATTTGAAACCCCAAGCAATAGTTTTATTTCCCTCTCCACTACTGCCTGAAATGTCCTTCACATCCACAATGAGAAATGATCCTTCCTTCCATGCCACATCCTCAAACAGTGTGAGGGTCATTGAGGTATTGGTTTCATTTAGTGTCTCTTCCCCAAGCTCGTGTCAGGAAGGACCATGGGAACTGGACTCATTGACCTGGGTATCTGGTTCTGGCTCTGGCTAACCATGCCATGACCGTTCTTCTTATTGCCCTTGTTGGTTTCACTTTCTCCATCTTTGTAATGTAGGCTAATGTAGCAAGCATGGGATAACTGAGGCTGGGACGATAAGTACCTATAATAGTTGAAATGGTAAGCCTTAGGAAGAGAGGCCCTTACCTGGCTGAGCAAGGACAAGGGTGCTGAAGCTGGCAGCTGTGAGCAGAAGGCATAGAAGCGCTGTGGAGAACTTCATAGTGGAGGTGAGCACGGGAGCTTGGGTGTGAGCGCTGGAAGTTCCTGTGTTGGTCTCAGCCTCTCTGCTCCTCTGGCTCCTCTGGTCACCCTGCCTGATTTTTATGGAGAGCAGTGAGCATGGGCAGGGCCCTGAAATAAGACTTGGAATGTGCTGAGTAGGTGCCAGATCCTTGGGGTGATTTCCTAACACTGGAAAAAGGAAGCTGAACAGTTTCTATTGTTGCTTAGACTATGTGGAACAGAGGTGGAAGAGAATGTGGTTGTGCCTAACAAAGTGTAGGAAGTGACCTCACTGGACTATTAAGGGCTATGATTTCTTTGAAATGGAAAATGATCTTTTGGAAAGGAAGAACGGAAGCTGAGGTCAGAATGGAATAAAGACAATAAAAGCCCTGGCCCTCTCTGGGGCGCAGGAGGCCTAGGATGGGGCCTTAAGTCTTTACCTGTACTTCTATCAGACTCAGGTCCCTGGCACCTTAAACTCATTGGGCTCTTTTAGAACACCCCAGAGGTGGCCTGATGGAACCCTGGCAGAATGGTGGAATCCAGGAAAATATTCAAGTTATAATGCCCCAGATTCTTATGGAGTGTGAGAACTGGACAACACATACTGATCTTGGAGGGTGGGGGTTTACAAATATTTTATTTAGACAATAAAGTCTCTTTCCAAGTGAAAATCATAGAGAGAAGCCTGATATTTCATAAGGATTTAGGTAGAATGGGTCTGTTTGAGAAAGGCTTTCAGTTCTCTTTGTTTACACACAGTGGGGGCAGGGGTGGGAGTGAAGGAAAGGAGCTAACTTTGCAAACCACCGACCTCTTATATTCTTCTTCATTCATGTGTCTGCCATTAGGGTATCATGTGGAAATGCCATTGCCCTCAAAATCCCCTGTGTTCCTCCCCTCAAATCTCTGGCTACCACCAATCTTTTTACTGTCTCTGTATGTTTGCTTTTTTAAAATGTCATGTAGTTGGAATCACATGGTATGTTGCCTTTTCAAAGTGGCTGCTTTCACTTAGAAATATGCATTTAAGATTCCTTTGTGTCTTTTCATGGTTTGGTAGCTCATTTCTTTTTATTGCTGAATAATATTCCATTGTATATATGCATCAGTTTATCTTTTCATCTATTGATATCTTTGTTGCTTCCAGTTTGGGGTAATTATGAATAAAGCTGCTATAAATGTTTTTGTGCAGACTTCTTTGTGGACATAAATTTTTAACTCATGTGGAGTGTGATTGCTAGATCACATGGTAAGATTATGTCTAGCTTCATAAGAAGCTGCCAAAGGGTCTTCCAAAGTGGACGTGAATGAGAGTTCCTGTTGTTTCACATCTTTGCCAGCATTTGCTATTGTGAGTATTTTGGACCTTAGCCATTCAACTGGGTGGATAATGGTATCTTAGTGTTTTAATTTGCAATTCCCTAGTGACATGTTGAACATATTTTTGTATGCAATTTCCATTTGCGTATCTTCTTTTGGTGAGGTGTCTTTGGTGAAATCGTTCATCTATTTTTAAAATCAGGATTGAGTTTAATTATTGAGTTTTAAGAGTTCTTTGTATATTTTGGACACAAGTCCTTTGTGTATATGTGTTTCACAAAGGTTTTCTTCCAGTCTGTAGCCTGTCTTCTCACTCTCTGTGTGAAAAACAGAAGTTTTTTATTGTAACAAAGTCCAACTCATGAATTATTAATTTTATGGGTCAGGTTTTTCATGTTATATCTATTAAGGCATCACCAAACCCAAAGTCATCTCAATCTTCTTCTGTTATCTTCTAGAAGTTACATAGATTTGAATTTTACATTGGGCCTATGATCCATTTTGAGTTAATTTTTATGAAAAGTGTAAAATATCTAGATTCTATTTTTTTTATGTAGATGTCCAGAACCATTTGTTGAAGACTTCCTTTTCTATTGAATTACCTTGACTGATTCAATATTGATTCTTTTTATCCATGAACATGGGATATCTCTCCATTTATTGACTTCTTTAATCTTTCATTAGAGTTTTGTGGTCTTCCACAAGTTGATTTTGTACATATTTTTCTTAGATTCATTCCTAAATACTTCCTTTTTGTGCTAATATAAATAGTATTGCGTTATTAATTTCAAATTGCTATTGTTCATTTTTGGTATATAGAGAAATAATCAAGTTTTATACATTAACTTTGTAGCCTGGTGCCTTACTATAATTGCTTTTTAGTTGTAGGAGGGTTGTGTGTATGTGTGTGTGAATGTGTGTACGATTCTTTTTCTACATGGATAATTATGTTTTCTGCAAAGACAATTTTATTTGTTTCTTCTCAATCTGTATATCTTTTTATTTCCTTGTCTTGTCTTAGTCCATTAGCTAGGACTTCCAGTATGATGTTGAATAATGGTGGCTAAAGGGAACATCCTTGCCTTATTCCCAGTCTCAGGGGAAAAGCATTTTTTTCATGATTAAGAACATCATTTCATTGTTTCAACATCAGTAAATATGATGTCAGCTGTAGACATTTTATAGATGTTCTTTATTAAGTTGAGGAAGTACCTCTCTATTCCTAGTTCACTAAAAGTTTTTTCATGGATGAGTGTTGGATTTTATCGAATGCTTTCTATCGGCATCATCATATAATTTTTTCTATTTTAAAAAGATTTTATTTATTTATTCATGAAAGACATACAGAGAAAGGCAGAGACATAGAGGGAGAAGCAGACACTCCACAGAGAGCCTGATGTGGGGACTCAATCCCAGGATCCTGGGATCACAACCTGAGCCAAAGGTAGATGCTTAACCACTGAGCCACCCAGGTGCCTTGGTATCATTATATTGATATCATCATAAGATTTCTTTCTTCTTTAGTCTGTTGATGATATTGATTATATAAATTGATTTTCAAATATTGAAGCAGTTATGTGTTTGGAATAAATCCCAGTTGGTTGTGTTGTATAATGCTTTACACACATTATTGAATTCTATTTGCTAATACTTTGTGGTAGATTTTTGCATCTATGTTCATGAGATTTGTCTGTAGTTTTCTGTTGGTTCTTTGAGGATGGCAGCTTTTTCTATTACTTTGGGGACAGTTCCCCTGCCAGTTATACCATGTAGCACTGATCTCTGTGGTCCTGTGTTGGCTAACAGGTCAAGTTTGCATATATTTTTTTCACTTGGAAATAAAGTCACTTTTTACAAAATACACTCAAGATCTCATTAATTTCTCCTCTGAGCTGCCTTAATACGGAAAGTGCATCTATGCACAGATGACAGAAATAGTAGCGAAAATCATAGTTCTTATAGATCAAAAAGTGTTAATCAAATGAAAGGAATTAAGTGTCATGTCCTGAGTCTCATTCTAATTTAGCCAATAACTAGCCAATGACTTGTGCAATGTGACTATGGACAAACCCTGACTGAGATTCATTGTCCTTATCTACAAAGTATGGGGTTTTGACAAGTTAAGAATGGTAAATAGTTTTCAAACATATATTAGCTTGATAGATTTATTGGTGGAAGACCAGAAAGCTTTGTTGGAAAAACCAACCAACCAACCAACAAACCCTGAGGCATTAATTTGAGCTATTGAATGTAAAGCCCTGATTGATTATTGATGTCTGCCATGGGTACAGAAACTAGAAGTGGCACTTCATATGCAACATAATTTCTATTCCTGGGTTAAATAATATTTAAGCTCTTCTGTAACTTAATTTGTCTATGATTATCTGCAAAGGATCCAATCAGAGACCAGGGAGGCTAGGATGACAGGAACTAGCAGAGAAGTATTTCCAACTGTCAGCCTTAGGAAAAGCAGAATAGCATGGTAGTTAAAATCTGGATTTGTATGCTAGGATTGCTAGGTAATAACTGTGTCAGAGAAGGCACAAGTAATGTAATTTCTTTATAGTTTAAATTCCTCACCTATTCTTTGTTTTTCTTATGTGGAAATGGCATTTACTGCTGCTATTAAATCAACTGACACCAAAAACTTACTTTGCAGAGTGAGTGGCATATGATAAGAGTTCAATAAGCTAGCTGTTAGCAACAATCAAATAAAATGGGTGTCATGTCTAGAACAAGCTAGGAAGGGACTCAGAGTGTAGTTCTTGGTCTCTTGCACAAGTTCTCCCTAAAATTGCTTCCAAACAAAGATATGTGGTAGGGACAGGCTTCTGGGAATGTGTATGCTGTAGATGAAGAAAGAAAGGAGTGTCTTGAAAATAAAATAGAAGTGAGGTTTTAGGGTCCTATTATGAACCAGAAGAAAAGAATGTTGTGGGTCTTAGAGGAGATGGAGGTCAGATCCCAGTGTTGACATGCCAAAAGTCACCAAGTTCTTAATTCTACAGGGATTTCAAAGATCTTAGCCAGTAAGTCACTTTGATTATGCAATTTCCCTTTCTTGTTTTGTTTTTAAATTGAATTCAAGTAATTCCAACAAAAAAGTTAAAACGAAACTTTAGGCCATGCAAACTCAGCAACTGTTCTATCCAGCAACTTGGCTGTGTTGTTCAAGGAAATGGACATTCTGCTTTTTTTCTTTCTTTTTCTCCATGGTGCTTTCACAGTGAGCATATTCTTAAAAAGTATTTTTTGACAACCCACCTACTGCTCAGTGGCTGTGAAGGAGAACCTGGAATCAGAAACCTCTACCTGCAAAAAAAAAAAAAAAGAAAGAAAGAAAGAAAGAAAGAAACCTCTACCTGCAAATAGCAGGCAGGAAATGAGTACCTTGCTATGGGGAGAGATCTGAATTCTTAGGCAGTTCTCAAGGGATGTGATAAGATGGGAGAGCATCCTGGGAGTCAGAATTGCTGTCTCCATTTTTCAGTTCTGTCTGAAGTGTCTCCAGTGGTCACAAAATTATAGAAGGCATTGGAAGAGCCATTCACATGGAATTTAGTCCACTTTTCTCCTTTACAATAAGATAAAGAATTATAGAAGTGAAATGATTTGTCATGGGTTGTATGGCTACAACATGACACACCAAGACCTGTGAGTAAGCATGTCTGAATAAAAGCTGTTATGCAATTCAAAGTTAGAAGACAAGGACAAGGCGGAAAATTACAGTGAGGAGCCCAGAGAC